CGAGCTCACGCCCAGCCCAATTGTTTAGAACAATTCAGTCTTTAACAACTCTGCCACAGGGCAGACCAAACGCTAGGGAATTGGATATTGGCTGCAAGACATTTGCGAGCTATTTCGCAGATAAAGTCTTGGCACTCCGCCACGACCTCCCCGCCACACTTGAAACAGTGAATGAACTTGAGGCCCCTTGCATGTCTTTGGTTCCGGGTTTAGAGCGCTTCGGCCCGCTCAGCCTGGAGGAAGTTGACTGACTGCTCGCATCTGTGCGCCCAACCACATGTAGCCTTGATCCATGCCCCTCCTGGCTTATTAGAGCAGGTCACGAGGGCTTGCGAGGTGCCCTAAGGAAAATTATCAAGTCCCTCTCTGAAAGACGGTTCCCGGGGGCACTCAAGGAAGCGATGGTCTGCCCTCTCTTGAAAAAACCTTCTTTGGATCCAGCCAAATTAGCCAACTATTGGCCGGTGTCCAATTTGCCCTATTTGGGCAAACTTACTGAGAGGGCGATGGTGTTACAGCTGCAGAGCTTTTGGGATGATGCTTCCATCCTAGATCCTTTCCATTCCAGCTTCCGCCTGGGGAATGGGACGGAGACAGTCCTGGTTGCTCTTACTGACGATCTTCGAAGGCATTTGGATCGCGGCGGTGTGGCGGCACTGTTGTTGTTAGATCTGTCACCCGCGTTCGATATGGTCGACCACCAGTTGCTCAACCACCACCTCGCCGACGTGGGGAGTCAGGGGCTTGCCCTTCAATGACTTGCCTCTTTTCTCCAAGGTCGGGGACAAAGGGTGGTGATAGGGGAACAGCAGTCCCGGAGACATCCTCTTGAATGTGGGGTGCTTTCCCTGATGTTGTTCAACATCTACATGCGCCCCCTTGCCCAGATCGCCTGGAGGTATGGGCTTGGGTGTCATCAAATGTGGATGACACCCATCTCTATCTGATGTTGGGTGGCCGGTCGGGCTCCAGCCCAGAAGATCTGCACTGGGCGTTGCAGGTCGTGGCTGGTTGGCTCTGACTGAGTCGACTGAAGCTAAACCCAGCAAAGACAGAGGTCCTGGGCCTGAGTCGGGGCGGTCCGGGGTTGGGGCTCCCTCTCCCGACCTTCGATGGGGCACCTTTGGTGCCAGCGCCGGAGGTTAGGAGTTTGGGAGTGCTTCTAGACTCCTCGCTAACTATGGAGGCCTAGGTGACAGCCACTGCTAAGTCAACCTTTTACCATCTTTGGCTAGCTTGGCAGTTGGTTCCCTTCCTCAACTGAGATGGCCTGGCCACAGTGATCCATGCAATGACCTCCCCAGATAAGAGGTCGTCACAAGGGGTATGTGCCAAAAAAAAATAAATCCGTATTTTGGGGGTTTGGGTGTTATGTATACTATATGTGTTAATGTATGACTTTTTAAAATATATTTTCATGAAGTCTGAGGAAGTATTGGTGACATTAGATAGTTTGTGATTCTTTGTAGAGAGTTTGCCAGTTTCCTTCACTAAAGAAGGGACCTAACCACCAAAACGTGGGAGTCAACCAGAAGCCATGTCTCGTTTGTACGTTGGTCAGATTTTGTTTGTGCTTTGGACACGGTGCAGATTGTGATTAATTCGGCCCTAAAATATCGTTTTTGGACTTTTCCCCTTGTAAGGGTTTTTGTATGTTTCCCTGCACTGGACTAATGACCATATGTTTGTATTAATTAACATATTTAGAATATTCAAAATAATTATTACAGTATATATTTTGATTCTAATATTGTTTTGTCTTCACTGTAGTAGCACTTCATTTCACATTGTGTGTTCTTGTTTATCTGTTTCAAACACTGTGATTCCAGTTGATCTGTGGCATTTTAACCTATGAATCTGTGAGCAAAATGTTTCTTCGATCGGTTATCACACTACAGGGAAAAGTCTGCTGCTCCCCTGAAAAGCAAAAGATGATTTCTGCAACAGATGCCCCCCCCCCAGGAACCTTTATTTTCAATTTATATTTGGCCAGATCTTTGTCTTTAAACTTTTTACATCTTGAAGGCAGCTGCCACTTGAAAGAGAGCTAGTGTGTTTCAAAATATTAGGTGTCCAAACTTCCTTGGTCAGATCTTCAATTGGACTCAACCTGAACTTCTGGGTAACTTTAAATGACACTATGTACCAGCAGCGACCAGTGCTTTATTTCTAATCCAGATTCCAAAACAAACTGTTTGACTGTAGTGTCCTTTTCATCCTACAGAGTATGGGGGAAGCTGGACTATTCCTGTCAGCCTCTGTGTTCTTTGCGATCAAGGATGCAGTGGCTGCTGCCCGGAAGCAAAGAGGATTGAATGGCGTTTTTACACTGGACAGTCCGCTGAACGTAGCAAGGATTCGCATGGCCTGTGCCGATCATTTTACAGAGATGGTAACCGCCTTCTCGATATCCTTTGCCCTGTCCTTTCTACACGGAGCCTGTGTTTCATGGCCCCTCCACCCTGCTGTGCAGTGTTCCCTCTAAGCTGCGTTAGTGTGAGCTAGCTCACAGTTTCTTAGCCTCCAGCGCACACATTTGTCTCTTAGTTCAGGAAGGTTGGCTCCAGGGCAAACTAATTTATGCAGTAGCCAAATCGCTCGCTCTCAACTTTAATGCCAGTGGCTCACAAAGTATAATGCCAGTGGCTCGCAAAATATAATGCCAGAGGCTTGCAAAGTAGAATTTTTGCTCACAAGACTCCACAGCTTAGAGGGAGCATTGCTGCTATGTATTGTTTTTTATATCCCTCCTTCATAAAACGTCTGCCTAGTGACTCTTCCTCCCCACTCCTCCACTTCAAGCCAGCTGGGTGGACTGACCTTGGGTAAGTCACAGTTCTCTCAGCCCCCCAAATTAAAAAAACCTAAAGGTAAAGGTTCCCTTGCTCGAAAGCCAGTTGAACCCGACTCTAGGGTTGTGGTGCTCATCTCCGTTTCAAAGCCAAAGAGCCAGCACTGTCCGAAGACGTTTCCGTGGTCATGTGGCCGGCATGACTAAACACCAAGGCGCACGGAACGCTGTTTCCTTCCCACCAAAGTGGTACCTATTTATCTACTTGCAATTTCTTGCTTTCGAACTGCTAGGTTGGCAGGAGCTGGAAATAGAGATGGGAGCTCACTCTGTCATGCGGCACCCGGGTCTTGAACTGCTGAACTACCGGCCTTCCACAGCCTGCAGTTCAGTGTCTTAACCACTTGAGCCACCGCAGCTCCTAAAAACCTAGCTCGCCACAAAAAGAGCTAGAGTTTCAGGCTGCCGGACAATCTTCAGATCTCCTGGCTATACGACGCCCACTGCCATACAATAATTAATTAATTGCCGAGTATCAGCTCATTGCATCCAAAGATGTGGGCTCTAGTCCATGAACGTTATGCAGGAATAAAATTTTGTTAGTCTTTAAGGTGCCACAAGATTTCAGTTTAGATTTAGTTCAACAAACTAACATAATTTCCCCTCTGGGATTTTATACCCACCTATCACGCCTCGGCGTTTAGTCATGCCGGCCACATGACCATGGAAAAGTCTTTGGACAGCGCTGGCTCCTTGGCTTGGAAACGGAGATGAGCACCATCCCCTGGAGTTGGATTTGACTAGCTTTCGAGCAAGGGAAACCTTTACCTTTACCTTTTTATCCATCTCTATATCAATATCAGTACTAGGACATTTTTCATAGAAAAGCAAGACATAGACAACAAAGGGCAGAGAATGGGTGTGGACATGCCCAGAATCACTCACTGCAGACATGCTGGATAGTAGGCAGGAAGTGGGACTTGTCTAGCAGACTTAAAGTGAAACTAAGTGCTTTCCCGCCTTCTCATTTTCCTTTCTTGTGAGTTCCTGTTGCTTCAAGGTTCTCTCCCCCCCCCCCGTCCACGCATGTTTTCCTCCTTCTAGCGGTTGATTCAATATTACGTCAGTTTATGTCTGGCATAAAAACCTGAAGTTTAAATCTGCAGGTAGATATGCCAGACGCAGAGCAATGTAATATCGAATCAACCACTAGAGGGAGTAAAACACATGTAGAACAGGAAAACCCCCCCCCCAAGCAACAGGAACTCAAGAGCAACGAAAATAAGACTGTGGAAAAGCCCTAGATGAGACTGGGGGGAGATCTGAGATTAGGTCTCTTGGAGATTTTTAAATTTAAAAGCTGTGCCAGGAAGGGTGGAATGATGGGATTTGATTCTGAATTTATATCATAACATTCACAGTGAAAAATATTTTTCTTTTCTTTCTTTTTTAGATTCCAAAGGATGAACCTGGAACCTTTAAACCATGGGCTATTGATATAAATTAAAATATTCGGCTTTTCCACCAGAACTTTGAGATTGTCTTAGTAAATTGTTGATCTGTGATTCCAGGCCTACGTAATCACAGAAACAATATCAGTCTTTCGGATAAGACATATTTTAGGTTCCAGAGGGATAGCAGATCCTAAAATTCATTCAAAAATGGGGGGGGGGGGAAATGTACCCCAGACTTCTTCATCTGAGGGCAGTACCAAAGGCTATGCACCATTTCTGCCCAATTTGACAGATGCCACCAACAACAGCGAGTTTTTCAGGACACGTGCTAGCCTGTGAGGTGTGAGGTATCATTCCATGCTGGCTTTTATAAAAGTATTTTACATCTGCTGAGATTTCCATTTGGTAACACAAGACTCCAAATCCGAGACCATTTGTTCAAGCCAATCACCTTGTTGAGATCTTTGTTTTACCATTTAATTAGTTATCTAAATGAAATTGTTGTTGTTCAGTCGCACAGTCGAGTCCGACTCTTTGCGACCCCATGGACCAGCTCCCGCCAGGCCTTCCGGTCTTCCGCTGTCCTCTGAAGTTTGCTCAACTTCATGTTCGTTGAATCGATGACACTGTCTAACCATCTCATCCTTTGCCGTCCCCGTCTTCTTTGACCTTCAATCTTTCCCAGCATCAGGGTCTTCTCCAGTGAGTGCTCCCTTCTCATTTGGTGGCCAAAGTATTTGAGCTTCAGTTTAATTATCTGGCCTTCCAGGGAACAGTCAGGGTTGATTTCTTTGAGGATTGACTGATTTGTTCTTCTTGCAGTCCAAGGGACTCTCAAGAGTCTCCTCCAGCACCATAGTTCAAAAGAATCTATTCTTCGGCGCTCGTCCTTCCTTATAGTCCAACTCTCGCAGTCAGACATGACTACTGGGAATACCATTGCTTTGACCATGCAGACTTTTGTTGGCAGAGTGATGTCTCTACTTTTTATCATGCTGTTTAGGTTCGCCATCGCTTTCCTCCCAAGGAGCAGGCGTCTTTTAATTTCATGACTGCTGTCACAGTCTGCGGTGATCTGGGATCCCAGGAACGTGAAGTCTGTCACTACTTCCACAGCTTCCCCTTCTATTTGCCAAGGAGTGATGGGGCCGGATGCCATGATCTTAGTTTTTTTGATGTTGAGCTTCAAGCCCACTTTTGCGCTCTCCTCTTTTACTCTGAGCAAGAGGTTCTTTAGATCCTCTTCACTTTCAGCCATTAGAGTGGTATCATCTGCATATCTGAGGTTGTTGATCTTTTCCCCAGCAATCTTAATTCCCGCTTGTGATTCATCCAGGCCAGCATTTCGCATGATGTACTCTGCATATATATTAAATAAGCAAGGTGACAATATACATCCTTGTCGTACTCCTTTTCCTATGCTGAACCAATCAGTTGTTCCATATCCGGTTCTAACTGTCGCTTCTTGGCCCTTATACAGGTTTCTCAAGAGACATGTGAGGTGGTCTGGTACTCCCATCTCTTTAAGGACCTGCCATAGTTTGTTGTGATCCACACAGTCAAAAGCTTTAGCATAGTCAATGAAGCAGAAGTAGATATTTTTCTGGTACTCTCTTGCTTTCTCCATAATCCAGCGAATGTTGGCAATATGATCTCTCGTTCCTCTACCTCTTCGAAACCCAGCTTGTACTTCTGGTAGTTCTCTATCCACGTACTGTTGAAGCCTAGCTTGTAGGATCTTGAGCATGACCTTGCTAGCGTGTGATATGAGTGCAATTGTGCGATAGTTTGAACATTCCTTGGCATTGCCCTTCTTTGGGATTGGAATGTATACTGACCTTTTCCAATCCTGTGGCCACTGTTGCGTTTTCCAAATTTGCTGGCAAATGGAGTGCAGAACTTTAACAGCATCATCTTCTAAGACTTTGAATAGCTCAGCTGGAATACCATCACCTCCACTAGCTTTGTTGTTAGCAATGCTTTCTAAGGCCCATTTAACTTCACATTCCAGGATGTCTGGCTCAAGGTCAGTGATTATACCGTCGTGTTTGTCAAGGACATTGAGGTCTTTCTTGTATAGTTCTTCTGTGTATTCTTGCCATCTTTTCCTAATCTCTTCTGCTTCTGTTAGGTCCCTACCGTTTTTGTCCTTTATCATGGCCAGCTTTGCATGGAACGCTCCCTTGATTTCTCCAATTTTCTTGAAGAGATCTCTAGTCCTTCCCATTCTATTGTTTTCTTCTATTACTTTGCACTGTTCATTCAGGAAGGCCTCCTTATCTCTCCTTGCTGTTCTCTGGAAATCTGCGTTCAGTTGGGTAAATCTTTCCTTTTCGCCTTTGCCTTTCGCTTTCCTTCTTTCCTCTGCTATTTGTAAAGCCTCATCAGAAAGCCACTTTGCTTTCTTACATTTCTTTTTCTTTGGGATGGTGGTGATTGCTGCCTCCTGTACGATGTCACGAACCTCTGTCCATAGTTCTTCAGGCACTCTATCTATCAAATCCAGACCCTTGAATCTATTCTTCACCTCTACTGTATATTCATCAGGGATGCGATCTAGGTCAAACCTGAATGGCCTCGTGGTTTTCCCAATTTTCTTCAGTTTAAGTCTGAATTTTGCAATGAGTAGCTCATGATCTGAACCACAGTCAGCTCCAGGTCTTGTTTTTACTGACTGGATAGAGCTTCTCCATCTTTGACTGCAAATTATATAGTCAATCTGATTTCGGTGTTGCCCATCTGGTGATGTCCATGTGTAGAGTCGCCTCTTAGGTTGTTGGAAAAGGGTGTTCGCTATGACCAGTGTGTTCTCTTGACAAGTGTATTCTTGCCATCTTTTCTTAATCTCTTCTGCTTCTGTTAGGTCCCTACCGTTTTTGTCCTTTATCATGGCCAGCTTTGCATGGAACGCTCCCTTGATTTCTCCAATTTTCTTGAAGAGATCTCTAGTCCTTCCCATTCTATTGTTTTCCTCTATTACTTTGCACTGTTCATTCAGGAAGGCCTCCTTATCTCTCCTTGCTGTTCTCTGGAAATCTGCATTCAGTTGGGTAAATCTTTCCTTTTCGCCTTTGCCTTTCGCTTTCCTTCTTTCCTCTGCTATTTGTAAAGCCTCATCAGAAAGCCACTTTGCTTTCTTGCATTTCTTTTTCTTTGGGATGGTGGTGATTGCTGTCTCCTGTACAATGTCACGAACCTCCGTCCATAGTTCTTCAGGCACTCTATCAAATCCAGACCCTTGAATCTATTCTTCACCTCTACTGTATATTCATCAGGGATGCGATCTAGGTCAAACCTGAATGGCCTCGTGGTTTTCCCAATTTTCTTCAGTTTGAGTCTGAATTTTGCAATGAGTAGCTCATGATCTGAACCACAGTCAGCTCCAGGTCTTGTTTTTACTGACTGGATAGAGCTTCTCCATCTTTGACTGCAAATTATATAATCAATCTGATTTTGGTGTTGCCCATCTGGTGATGTCCATGTGTAGAGTCGCCTCTTAGGTTGTTGGGAAAGGGTGTTCGCTATGACCATAAATATAAATGCAATGGCCATAAATAAATACCAGTCATAGTTCCTTTACATATAGCACTCACAACAGTTTGTCCCCGTGCTGTTCTAATCTTACTCAAAAGATGGTTAAGAATATGCCTCGTCTGGATATAGCGAATGAACATCTAGGAGCACCCCTTCTGTGGGCCAGTGTGGTGGAGTGGTTAAAGTGTCAGACTAGGATCTGGGAAACCCAGGTTCAAATATCCACACTGCCACAGAAGCTTGCGGGGTGACATTGGGAGGGGCCAATCACACTCTCTCACCCTAGCCTTCCTCACAGGGCTGTAGAGGAGTAGAGGAGAATGATGTAAGACTCATTGGGTCCCTACTGGGGGGAAAGGCGGGAAGGAGGAGGAGATTGGATTTATACCCCGCCCTTCACTACCTGAAGCAGTCTCAGAGCAGCTTACAATCTCCTTTCCAGTCTGGTGTAGTGGTTAAGTGCGTGGACTCTAATCTGGGAGAACCGGGTTTGATTCCCCACTCCTCCACTTGCACCTGCTGGATGACCTTGGGCGAGCCATAATTCTGGCAGAGCTGTACTTGAAAAAAGAGCAGTTTCTGTCAAGAGTTCTCTCAGCCCCACCTACCTCACAGGGTTTCTGTTGTGGGGAGGGGAAGGGAAAGGAGTTTGTAAGCCGCTCTGAGACACCTTTGGGTAGTGAAGAGCAGGGTATAAATCCAATCTCTTCTTCTTTCCCTTCCCCTCCCCACAACAGACACCCTGTGAGGTACGTGGGGCTGAGAGAGCTCTCTTGAGAACTGCTCTTTCCAGAACAGCTCTGAGAGAACTTTTGACTGACCCATGGTCATGCCAGCAGCTGCATGTGGAGGGATATAAATAAAATAGATAAATGCTATCTAGAAGAATGTGCCTCATGTTCTGACATATTATGCGGAGCACTTCCAGCCGGGACACTTTCTGCTTTGTTTCCATTGCGGCATGACCACAAAAATAAACCTCAGACGCTTACTTTGGCTTTGGGTGTAGACACTTGTGAGGATTCCACCACCTCCCATACTATGAAAGGGTCTCTGATAGTGGAAGTGTCAGCCAACACCCCCCAGATCATGAGACAGTCATTTTATAGACGCTGACTGATAAAAACAACATTAAAAGCAGAATAACATTGAGCATTATTTATTTTATTTGTATTTATTGTACACAATTTATATCCTGCCTTTTTGTGTTCTCAAAGGCCACCAAGGCAGCAAATTAAAATGTATTCAATAAAATCACATTTTAAAACACTTGAAGCCACCCCCAAACAAACAATCATGAAAAAAACTAAAACCAGAGCTAAGATATACCAAATAAAGGTTTCCCTTGCTTGAAAGCCAGTTGATCTTGACTCTAGGGGGCGGTGCTCATCTCCATTTCAAAGCTGATGAGCCAGCGCTGTCCAAAGACTTCTCCGTGGTCATGTGGCCAGCATGACTAAACGCCGAGGCACACAGAACGCTGTTACATTCCCACCAAAGCAGTGCCTATTTATCTACTTGCAATTGCTTGCTTTCGAACTGCTAGGTTGACAGGAGCTGGGGCCAGAGACAGGAGCTCACTCCGTCGCGCGGCACTCTGGTTTCGAACTGCCAAGCTACTGACCTTCCAGTCTGCATCTCAGCGTCTTCACCTCTGAGCCACAACAGCCATACCAAATAAAGCAGCGGTTAAAAACACTGGGTAGGAAGGAGGGATCACAAAGGGGTTATATAGATGTCTTGACAATGTGTTGTATTCTAAAGAACCAGAAGGCTGGGTGTTAAGCACCATGATCTTTTCAGAATGTCAAGAAACATTTTGTATACTGTTTTGCAGGTATTGTACATGTTATAAGTTATACTTGATCTTAATAAATATTAAAAAATTAATAATATTGAGAGCATGGAAAGATTTGCAGCCTGCCTTTATGAAGTCCTGTTATCAGAACACCCTACGAATCCTGTTGCGTCGGAAAATGAGACTACTTCTGCTGCTGTGCTATACCATTGGGGAGTGACCTATAATTATGTGCCCTGTCATAGTATGTAAATATAATGTGTACTGTACAGAAATGTATTAAGTTTAGGTGGACCAATCGTAACTTACTTTGGACTTTTGATTTTATGGCCTTAATTTCTGTTGTGTGCAATTATAGACTGTAGCAAGGCTTCCTTCCGTTGTGCCAAGAATCACCTCCAGCTAAGTTTGCCAACTCCAGGCTGGGAAATTCCTGGAGATTTCTGGGATGGACCCCAGGGAGGGCAGGGTTTGGAGGAGGGGAGGGACCTTAGCAGCGAATAACGCCACAGAGCCCCCCCTCCAAAGCAGCCATTTTCTCCAGAGGAAGTGATTTCTGCAGTCTGGTGATCAGTCTTCATTTTAGGAGGTCTGCAGGCCCCACCTAGAGGTTTGCAACATACAAGAGATCACCGGAAATGCAGTTAAGAAGAACCAAAATGCAGTCGTGATAGAATTAGTCAGTATAGCATTGTATAGTCAATTATATTGTTTACCAAACACATTCATATACATGCAAAAGTTATAATGGACAATTGTTTTAAATAAATAAAGTACTCATGCCAAAGTTCAGTTCTGATTATTTCCTGAGCAGTTTCTTCTCGTGTATATTCAGCCCAAGCATAGCAACTGTCAAGGCTTCCAATGGGCCAGCTGAAGATCCCCGTTTCTGCCCTTTCTCGAGGTAAAACTGGCAGTCACTGAACTATAACAATACTTCTTAAAATCCACAGTAACAGACCTTACTGCAAACCCAACTGACAAACACTTGCTTGTTACATTGTAATTGAAATTTGAATTGTGTTTGGTGTTTTTAATTACCATAAGCCATGTCTTGCATATGATTAAATACATTTATTGGGGCTTTTGTGGGTTCCCCAACAAATCAATTGGTTTCACTGCTAGAAATCATTTGTTTCTGTTTGTATATTGAGTAAAAAATAATATTGTTAGTTGGGGTTGCCTCTGTCCTTTCTAAAGTTTATATCTTTGGTACCTGGTGTTACATTTTATGGCTCACATGGCCCAGCCCAAAAGTTACATTTATGTCAGATCTGGCCCTTGTAACTAATGAGTTTGACACCCCTGCCCTATTTGTTCTGCGTGAAAGCTGGCTACCAACAGAAATTTCTTTTATTTTTTGTGAAAAGTTTTTTATTATTTTCTTACTACAAACACTACAAAAAAACACTACAAACATTAACACTAAACTAAAAATAAGCTATACAAGTATCATACATAATGGTTATATGCATATTTAGTTAAAGCTTTCTCTATAAAAATGTAATTTTGGAATATAGCTATTTTCTACCGCTTCTGGTAGATATATAATAATATATAAATCTGGTAAATATATAATTGAATCAAGTAAGTACATCTCAAACAATAAGACTTTTAAGCTTATACAATTCTATCTGTTTCTTCCCTTTATTTTTCTTATCAAATTTCCATTTGACTTTCAAGGCTTTTGGGACTGCCGCCCCTAATTCTGATTTAGAGTCTTCTTCTGGATTACTGCTTGCTGTAGATTCCGGGCCTTCTGACCCATGTGTGCTAGTTTCTACTTCGATAGTTTGTTCCTCTGCTGTATCTTTTTCGGTCGCAGATTTTTGTTGCTGTTCCAAGAACATCTTCACTTTTAAAACAGAGTCTATCTTTTCTTTTTTATCTTTGTAGTTGAAGATCAGTCCTTCGGGTATTATCCATCTGTAGGGGGTGGCATTTTTCTGCAAAAAGCCGGTTAAGTTTTTGTATTGGGTCCTCTTCTTTCTTCTTTTGAATTAAATGTCCTTTAAGGCGCTAATTTCTTCGTCTTTGATTTTTAAGGTTGTCCCATTTGTGGCCTTGATCACCACGTCTCTTGTTGATCTTTTAGAGAATCTCGCCACTATCTCCCCAGGCAGGTTCTTTTTCTTAATAAATTCTGGATATATCCGATAGATCATATCCAGATCGCTTTGCAGTGTGTCCACCGTTAAACCTGTAATTGGGGCCAACGCTTCACTTAAAATTTCCTTCAGATTCTCACCTTGCTGTTCAGGAACACCTTGAAATCTCAGAACAAACGCTTATTTTTCCATTTGCAGTTTTAAAAGTTGGTCTTTGTTTTTCCATCATCTCCAGTCTTTGATTAATCGCTTTTGTTTTGGTTTCAACCTTTCCCACTGATTTTGCAGTCTCCTCTTTTTAAGTTCGTCTCTTTAAGCTGTTTTTGGAGCGCATCAAAATTCTTGTTGGCTACCAACAGAAATTTTGTCCAGTTCAGCATTCTCTACCACGTACCGATCTGCTCTCAAAATTTAGCATGCTACTGGAAACGATGGTTATGCCATGCTTCAAGTGCTGTCAAGTTGCAGCTCACGGTGACCCTGGCAAGGAGTTTTCAAGGCAAGTGAGAAGCAAGTTACTTCACTGAAATCTCTCCCCTCCCTAAACCCTGCCCTCCTCAAAGTTTGCTTCCCTGGAGAAAGTGGCTACCATCGAAGGTGGTCTCTATGGCCTTATACTCCGCTGAAATCCCTCCTCTCCCTAAACCCTGCCCTCTTCAGTTTGCTTCCCTGGAGAAAATGGCTGCCATCAAAGGTGGTCTCTATGGCATTATTATACTCCACTGGAATTCCTCCCCTCCCTAAACCCCACCAGAGTTTGCTTCTCTGGAGAAAATGGCTGCCATCGAAGGTGATCTCTTTGGCATTATACTCCACTGAAGTCCCTCCCCTCCCCAAACTCCACCCTCCTCAGACTTTGCTTCCCTAGAGAAAATGGCTGCCATCGAAGGTGGTCTCTTTGGCATTGTACTCTGCTGAAGTCCCTCCCCAAACCCCACCCTGCTCAGGCTCCATCCCCAAAATCTTCAGAAATTTCCCAGCTAAGAGAGGGCAGCCCTCCCCGATGAAGCAATGATCTGACTCAGAATGAGGCATCTTGGTATGCTTTACTCTCAAGGTCAATGACAATCATCTCAATCACTTATGATAACATCTTATGAATTATTGAAATGCTACTGACACAGGCATATTGATTTTTTTCTTGCACATCACTGAAATTATCCATTCAGTGTTGAGAAATCACTCCCACGTTCTGTTTTTCTGCTGCCTGAGGAAATAAGCTAAGGATCCCACCAGTTTAATGCTAATTGATTACCTGCCTGAGCAAATCCTGGGCAGTGCAATGGCTTAAGCTTGCAGGTCTCTTCTGGGAGGGAGTCCAGCAGCAGCCGGTTTGACTTTGCTTCACCATGCCTGTCCATTTGGGAGCGTGGCAGACTCTAATCCGGAGAAATGGATTTGATTTCCCACTTCTCCACATGCAGCCAGCTTGGTGACCCTGGGTCAGTCCCAGTTCTCTCAGAGCTGGTTTCTCAGGGGCAGTCCTCAAAAGAGCTCTCTCAGCCCCACCTACCTCACAGGGTGTCTGTTCTGGGGAGGGGGAGGGAAGCCGCTCTGAGACTCCGTGAAGGGCAGGGTATAGATCCTCCTCCTCCTTCTAGGCCAATGGCCCATCCAGTCCAACACTCTGTGTTGCATAGTGGCCAAAAACCAGGTGCCATCAGGAGGTCCACTAGCACGCCTAGATGGACCATAGGTTGTCCATTGGCTGTACAAAAGAATGGCCTCTCTTTGGATCCTGTTTTGGAATAAGATTGTTTCTGACCTTGAAGTATCTTGCTCCTGAATGCAAGAAAGAGAGCACCGACTGAACCTCATAATGTCAGTAGAACAAAGTTTGAGTCTGGTGACACCTTTAAAACCAACAAAGTTTAATTCGAGGGTGGGGCTTCCCCCGCAGGCCAGCTGACTGGTGGTGGATCTAAGTCCCAAAAATTGGGGGCACCCCTGCCTGGACTGGGGGTCTGGCAACCCTATTCTGGATGCAAGCTGATGGAGGGCTCGGGGGTCAATAAGAAAGGGCTGCTGTTAGCCCAATATCGGGGTATCTCCTGGCATTGGACCAGAACTTTGGAACCTCTCAATGGTGGATTTGGGACTTGGACTGAGACCCTATTGGTGTAAACTTAGGATGTGGGCTACGATAGGATAATGTAGCTAGCCTACAGAAAGAGGAGCACGGAGGGTGCACCTGGAGTAGGTGGTCAGATTGGCACAGGTTTGCTGGCGTTATCTGAGAAATGACTACATGGTCCTTCCTGGGCAGTTTATTTCATCACCATGGACTCGCATTTCACTACAGCCAAACATGGGTCATGCATTATGGCCAAGAAGTTGTGAAGAATTCTGGAATTCCAAAAGAACTTTAGGTCCACACGTTTCTGGTCTATCTGGGATGTTAGGCTTTTCCTGTGTCTTGTATCGATCCGTTCCTTTATCAAGAGACTTCCTTCCGATGGGAAAGAGATGTATTTCCCCTCACATCAGGATTCACAGCTGGCCCGTAGCTACAGCGGGGCTATTGGGGGCTCGGCCCCCCTTCCCTAAAGGGCCAGCCCCACAAGATTTTTTAGAAGACTTTTCGAGAAGGATGGGGTGGGGTGCACGCCCCCCGCTTCTTCCCAAAATCATTTAAAGGGATCCTTTAATTGCTTCTGAGAAGAAGCGGGGGATGGCGGACGCCCCTCTCCCTCCCTCCTGCAGGGTTTAAAGGGGCCTTCAGCTGATCCTCAGGTCACATGCTCCCCGCCAATCACCTGAAGGGCCCTTAAAATCTTGCAGGAGGGGAGTGAGAGGGGTGGCCACCGGTGGTCAGGCTTGGGGGGCGAATTGGAGCCGACATAAAAATAATGGCTTGCCGGTCTCTTCTGAAATAATTTTTGCCCCACAAGTCACAAAATCCTGGCTATGGGCCTGATTCACAGCTTGGTGTCAGGTAGCCAAGCTTCCTTGTGATCGTTTATTTCTACACTCTGGATATTTTAAAGACAGCAACTTTTTGGAGAGTACTGCCCCACCTCTGGTCTGTGTAAGCCAAAGGATCTTTTTTTTTGGGGGGGTACACATGGAACTAATATTGATGGGAGCCGGGGGCTATATCACAGAACAGGGCTCAACCTGAACTGGTGCATGACTTTAAATAGCACTGTGCAGCAACATCCAGTCCAGTTTCCAAAGCAAACTGTTTGACTGCCTTTTTCTTCCTACATAGCATGGGAGAAGCTGGCGTATTCCTGGCAGCCTTCGTGTTCTTTGCAATCCAAAGAGTGATGAACACATGGAACTCCCTGCCACAGGAGGTGGTGGCAGCTACAAGCACGGACAGCTTCAAGAAGGGATTGAAGAAACCTATGGAGCAGAGGTCCATCAGTGGCTATTAGCCACAAGATATAGATAGGAACTCTCAGGCTGGGGCAAGTGATGCACTGCATTCTTGGTGCTTGGGGGGGGGGCAACAGTGGGAAGGCTTCTAGTGTCCTGGCCCCACTGCTGGACCTCCTGATGACACCTGGTACTTTTGGCTACTGTGTGACAGAGTGTTGAACCAGATGGGCCATTGGCCCGATCCAACATTGGCTTCTCTTATGTTCTCTTATGCACTGTATTCCTGGTGCTTGGGGGGGGGGCAACAGTGGGAAGGCTTCTAGTGTCCTGGCCCCACTGCTGGACCTCCTGATGACACCTGGTACTTTTGGCTACTGTGTGACAGAGTGTTGAACCAGATGGGCCATTGGCCCGATCCAACATTGGCTTCTCTTATGTTCTCTTATGCACTGTATTCCTGGTGCTTGGGGGGGGGGCAACAGTGGGAAGGCTTCTAGTGTCCTGGCCCCACTGCTGGACCTCCTGATGACACCTGGTACTTTTGGCTACTGTGTGACAGAGTGTTGAACCAGATGGGCCATTGGCCCGATCCAACATTGGCTTCTCTTATGTTCTTATGTCTGCAGCAACTGATGCACTACATTCTTGGTGCTTGGGGGGGGGGGCAACAGTGGGAAGGCTTCTAGTGTCCCTGGCCCCACTGATGGACCTCCTGATGGCACCTGGTATTTTTGGCCACTGTGTGACAGAGTGTTGGACCAGATGGGCCATTGGCCCGATCCAACATTGGCTTCTCTTATGTTCTTATGTTATTATGATGCAGTGGCTGCTACTCGGAAGCAAAGAGGACTGAATGGCATTTTTACACTGGACAGTCTGGCGAATGTAGTGAAGATTCGCATGGCCTGTGCCGATCATTTTACAGAGATGGTAAAGACTTTTAAAATTTTACAGGTATGTTAAAAACATCCCCTGCCCTGTCCTTTCTACACCGAGCCTGCATTTCATGGCCTCTGGACCCTATACCTCCTTAGGTATCTCCTCCTCTTATGTGCCTCCATCATAAACGGTATGCCTAGCAAAGATCTGCTGACTGCATCCAAAAAAGCGGGCACTCACGCCATGAAAGTTTATGCCGGAATGAAATACTGTTCTCAGGCTTGTAGCTAGGGTTTTTCTTCCCACCGGGGGGGTCTTTAAAATTTTTAAGGGGGCTTGGGGTAGTGTCGGTGTTTTGTTTTTAAAGGCAATATGCCTCCTACTGCCCAGTATATGAAAAGCCTAAATTTATACCTGGTCCAGCCTCTCTGCACCCTCCGCTCCCTGTGTTGGCGAAGCTCGCTTGGGAATCGCTTCCCCAGCTCCAAAGGATCAGCCAGCTAGCCCCTGCAGGCAGACCGGGTGGAGACCAAAGGGCAAATCTCGAAGGATCCAGCCAAGTGAATCAGAGGGTGGACTGAGGGTGCCTTTGAAGAAATGCTAGAAATTAACTTTAAAACATTTTAGGCAGAAAATCTTGTGTGGCTGTGCATTTAAGTAAGGGGGCTGGGCCCCATATGGCCCCACCGTAGCTATGGGCCTGATTGTTAGTCTTTAAGGTGCCACAAGAAGCTGGTTTAAATTTGCTCCAACAAAGTAACCCGACTTCCCCATCTGTTTCTGTATCAATAGCCACATTGGCACATTTTGTCACCAGAGGAGGCACAGAAGGCAGAGAATGATGGACCCAGAATAACTCGGAGCAGAAATGCTGGATAGTAGGCGGGAGACGTGACTTCGTTGCAGCCCTAAAGTGAAGCTAGATAAGACTGTGGGAGATTTGGGATTAGTTCTCATGTGGAATTCTAAATTTAAAAGCAGAATACCAGGAAGGGGCAGGGAGAGAATGATGGGATCTAAATTTACTTTATAACATTCAGACTTTATATTTCTTTCTTTTTTTAAGATTCTGAAGGATGAACTTGGTACCTATAAACCATGGGCTATTGATATAAATTAAAATGTCGAGGGCTTTGCCAAAAGGCTATGATTGTCTTAGTAAGTTCTTGATAACAACATGAGAACATAAGAGAAGCCATGTTGGATCAGACCAATGGCCCATCCAGTCCAACACTCTGTGTCGCACAGGGGCCAAAACCCAGGTGCCATCAGGAGGTCCACCAGTGGGTCCAGAACTCCAGAAGCCCTTCCACTGTTGCCCCCCAAGCACCAAGAATACCGAGCATCACTGCCCCAGACATAAGAACATAAGAGAAGCCATGCTGGATCAGGCCAATGGCCCATCCAGTCCAACACTCTGTGTCGCACAGTGGCCAAAACCCAGGTTCCATCAGGAGGTCCACCAGCAGGGCCAGAACTCCAGAAGCCCTCCCACTGTTGCCCCCCAAGCACCAAGAATACGGAGCATCACTGCCCCAGAGAGAGTGTTCCATCTATACCCTGTGGTTAATAGCCTCTGATGTACTTCCTTTCTGTGACTCTCCAGGGCTCCACACGCCCTGGCCAAAATCGACCAAAAATGTTTGTAGGACCATAACCTGCCCATCCATACCACTCAGGAACATCCCAGACAATTCCAGTTTATCCAGAAAACAAATCAACTGTTTAATCTGGCAAGGTAATCTCACCTCCTGGCTCATCAAGACCAGGCATGAGACAAATTAAATCAGACAGGCCCCAGCACCCACCATCCCTCGCAACGTTGGTCACCTGAGGAATCCCATGAAGGGTACTGCTATCAGCCAATGCCGTTAGGCCAACCAGTAGCCCGCTCAGGACACCCATTTCCATTAGCCAGGAAATATATATATAAGAGTAGCTCCAGGCCCCCCTCTCCCAAACTGGTTCTCCATCCCCAAACCTTCTTCCAATGTTGACACAGGATGACAGAATTCCTGGTTCAGAACAGGCTGGCCTAATTTCTGTCATTCTGCTTTCCTTTTCTGACCCTTCCCAGCACATTTTCCCATTCCCATTTCTTAGCTGCAGCCGTAGCCAACTTTCATTCTGACCGTAGGCCAGCTGATGCAACTGCCCATCTGTTCCCATGGCAACCCTCACAACCATCTGCTGGAGATTCCTTCACACCTCCCAGTTACACACCAGTTGGGTGTCGTGGTTAAGTCTATGGGCTCTACTCTGGGAGAACCAGGTTTGATTCCCCACGTCTCCACTTGCAGCTGCTGGATTACCTTGGGCAAGCCATAGTTCTGTCAAAGCAGTTCTTGAAAGAGCTCTCTCAGCCCCACCCACCTAACAGGGTGTCTGTTGTGGGGAGGGGAAGGGAAAGGAGTTTGTAAGCCGCTCTGAGACTCCGAGTGAAAGGGCGGGGTGTAAATCCAATCTCCTCCTCCTCCTTCTTAGCATCCCTGCCAGGACAGCCTCATACCTCTCTCTGCTTCCCACGTGGTTTGTTTCTTGGACTAGCCACATGATGGGAGGGATGCATTATTTCAGGTTGCAACACATAAAATTGGACAGGAGGATCTTGCAAAGTGAGCACTTACCTCCAGTAAATCACTATGGTATTTTCTCACTGAACTGCCTAGATTTGTGGTCTTGTTTTACTGAGTGTTGTTGTTGTTCAGTCGCACAGTCGAGTCCAACTCTTCGCGACCCCATGGACCAGATCCTGCCAGGCCTTCCTGTCTTCCGCCGTCCTCTGAGTTTACTCTGTTTACTGAGTAGGGAAACAATAATTTCATTGTCATGTGCTTCTGTCTATTGCAGTTAGGGCAATAAAGGTATCCTTTGTTTAAGCTCCTGTCTCATAGAATCACAGAGTTGGAAGGGACCTCCAGGGTCATCTAGTCCAACCCCCTGCACAATGTAGCAAATTCATAAACACCTCCCACCCACACATACACCCAGAGACCCCTGCTCCATGCCCAGAAGATGACAAAAAATCTCCAGGATCCCTGACCAAACTGCCCTGGAGAAAAATTGCTTCCTGACCCCAAAGTGGCAATCGGCATTTCCCTGGGCATGTAAGAAAGGGCCACAAGAACTAAGCACTGATGCAACCCTCCCTGCCCTCCCTTCTTGTGATCTGAGTTCACCCAATGAGCATTGCTGTCAGATGGCCATCCAGCCTGTTTGAAAACATCCAAAGAAGGAGAGCCCACCACCTCCCGAGGACGCCTGTTCCACTGAGGAGCGCTGTCAGGAAGTTCTTCCTAATGTTTAGCCGAAAACTCTTCTGATTTAATTTCAACCCATTGGATCTGGTCCGACCTTCTGGGGCTACAGAAAACAACCCCACCACATCCTCTATATGACAGCCCTTCAAGGACTTGAAGATAGTTATCGTATCACCTCTCAGACGTCTTCTCTCCGGGCTAAACATATCCAGCTCCTTCAACCTTTCCTCATAGAACTTGGCCTGTTCTCCTTTTATTTTCATCTAGAGGCATATTGACCTGAACCTGTGTATATGCAGAGTTAAAAGATCCCCAGGAGCCAGTATTTAGGACCTGCGCATGTGGGGATACTTGTACATCCATACCCAGACAGAGGTCTCTTTTGGATAACAATGGACACTGGGTATAGCAACGGCATAAGGGAAACAAAAATCTAGCACCAAACTGTAAGGTTTGCCATATTTATGTCTACAAAATGCCACAAATTGATTGCTGCTTGCAAACCCCACTCCACACATTAAAAACTCCACCCAGTTATTAGCTGATTGACTCAGGTGGGTAGCCGTGTCAGTCTGAAGCAGCAGAACAGAGTTTGAATCCAGTGGCTCCTTTAAAACCAACAAAGTTTCATTCTGGGAATAAGCTTTCGTGTGCATGCCCATGAAAGCTTATACCCAGAATGAAACTTTGTAGGTCTTAAAGGTGCCACTGGTCTCAAACTTTGTTCTATTCGCTGATTGTTATGGAAAATTCAGTTGTTCCGTGTGAATCCATCACCAACAGAGCGCTAGGAAACAACGTGATGGGAAATGTGGAGGTACCGAATGCTAGAATGGTACGGGTTCTACGGAAGAAACACACAGGGTCTAGGGACAGAAACAGCAGGATGGTATTGCTAAGAAGAGGTTAAAGAAGGGGGTCATGGTAGGCAGGAATGTTCCCAGAGCTTGACTGCCTCTGGATATGGAGATTCCCTTGAGATCATGGGTAGCAGCCATCCGAATGTTAAGGAGAGCCCCTGCTAGATCAGACCTGTTGGCCAAATTGCCTTATTTCTTTAATAAAAGGTTAAAGGTCAAGGCTCCCTTGCTCGAAAGCCAGTTGAATCTGACTCTAGGGTTGCAGTGCTCATCTCTGTTTCAAAGCCGAAGAGCCAGCGCTGTCCGAAGACGTTTCCGTGGTCATGTGGCCAGCATGACTAAACCCCAAGGCGCACGGAACGCTGTTACCTTCCCACCGAAGTGGAACCTATTTATCTACTTGCAATTTCTTGCTTTCGAACTGCTAGGTTGGCAGGAGCTGGAACTAGAGATGGGAGCTCACTCCGTCATGTGGCACACTCGGGTCTCGAACTGCTGAACTACTGACCTTCCACAGCCTGCAGTTCAGCGTCTTAACCACTTGAGCCACCGCAGCTCCAAATAAAAGGTTGGGGAAGTATAATATTAATGAGCAATTGGCATAACTATAGGATCATGACCTGTATATACCAGAGTCCCACTTATCCAAGTCCCAGAAATAGATACAGAGTGGGAGATTCCAAACTGCGCAGGAATAGAACGAAATATAGGTTGGGGGGATAGGAGAGAGAGAGAGAGAGCAATGGGGTGACCCTCTCTTTATATACCCTAGATCTGACTAGAGGCACATGCTTCCTCTGTCACATAGTCCTCCAGGAAGTACTAAAAAAAATCCAGGTCCTGATGGGGCCAGAGAATAGGATTACTAGGTGGGTAATTGACATCATGTTTTTCTAAGTGACACCTCTGGAGTGGATGGCTTAAGACAAAGGAAAAGAAGAGACAGTCTTCCAGGTGCTTGGGCCAGTCCAGTCGTTACAGTCAACGACCCAATGATCTGCAGCTGTGTTATCTTGATGGGCGGTGGGTGTGCTTGGCAGCTCAGGTAATCTCGTCACAGCCAAGTTCTATTGTTTAACTTGAGGATGAGTACGTGCAGTAATGCTAGGAGAAGGTGAGGGGGGAGGAAGGCTACCTGCATGCTGGAGAAGAAGTCTTTCAATGGCGTTTGTGCAGAAATGTCCAGGCTGCCTCTGCAAAGCATGGTTTCTCTGGAAGTCTGGCTGCTGGCTCCATGTTGCTGCAATGTCAGGGAGGCTGGCATGCTGTCTACCTGGGTCTGCAGTGTCCTTGGAGATGCAGGGATGTGTGGCATCGGGTCTTCTATGGGTCCATGTCTGGTCTAACATGCTGCTTCAGTGCAAGGCTTCTCTTGGCTGGGCACATATCTTCTGTCCTGTAGGTTGGCTCTGTCTCGTGGTCACCATTCAGTCCATTTTCCCTGGCACACAGTTTGCACAGTTCAGCTATACAGTTAAAATCCATATAAAGCGGCAGCGGGCTAACAACCAGTGGTCTGTCTAGTACAATATCGTTTCACACACTGGCTCATCAATTGCACTGTGAGGCCAACAAACTCTTTGAAGTGAAGGAACACTACAATATATCTTTGTACTATGCACACCAGTACTTTAGGATGGACAGGAGGGCTAGTGAGGTGGACAGTTCAATTTCTTCTGTATCCTTCCTCTCGTCTGTTCTGCTGATGGTCTACCCAGATTGCTACTCCGGGGACTTCCTTTCATCCGGCTATTTCCTTCTTTTTCTGTTTCTCTGTCTAGACTCCACAAGGGCAAGAAGTGCTCTCAGTATCTCTCTCCATCCTAGCCTAGATAGTTAGAACGCTCTCTTCCTTTCTGAGCCTAGCATGGAGTTCCTTAACCATAAAGGACAGCTTTTACCAATAAAGAGTGAGCAGGTAATGAGTTTTTACAGTCTTCACTACCAGCATCAGCTGCCCTTACCAGGTTTACAGAGATCATAATGCAGAGCCAGTGAGGAGTTCTGGTTAAGAGTGCTGGACTACTACCTGGGAGACCCAGGTTCGAATCCCCACTTGTGCCATGGAAGCTCCCTGGGTGACCTTGGGCCAGTCATATAATCACCCAGTCTAACCTATCTCACAAGCTTGAGATATCCAGGAGATCCTAAGAATGTCTGGCAGCCAGAAGTTCTAGCTCTTTTAGCCTTATGCACCACTAGGTGGCGAGCTAGACTTGTTTTTAAGGCAGGAGACATTCAGAGGTGGTTTGCCATTGCCTGCCTCCGTGTCAGAGACCCTGGTATTCCTTGGAGGTCGCCCCTTCCAAATACTAGCCAGGGCTTGACCCTGCTTAGCTTCTGAGATCGGGCCAGCCTGGACTATCCAGATTAGGGCTTGTTGTGAGGTTAAAATGAAGGAGAGGAGAATGAGGTAAGCCACCTTGGGTTCCCATAGGGGAGAACCGCAGGGTATAAAGAAAGTAAATAAATAAATAAGTAGAATGGCTGCAGCCTTTCCAAGGTCTGCACTGTGGAAAGACTGTCTCTCAGCTTCAGCCATCCACTTCAGTTTGTCATCTGAGGATAATAAGGTTGGACGAAATTGTAAAATGCTTTCTCTTAGTTTCACGTATGGAAGACAGTGGGACAATAACACCGTATTCTACTGCAGGATTGGTGCGTAGCATTTGTTGTTACTGTGCACTTTGCAATAAATAGATGCAAAGCCTCAACCTCACCCCCTCACACACACATACACAGAATATTTCTCAGCTTCCCACCCCCCCATCTGCTATAATAATATTAATAAATTAATAATAGTTTATTGATCCTTTCCCAGTGCATGGAAGCATCTGCTTTGTGAACCCTAGGTTCAATCTCCAGCATCTCCAGGACCAGGCAATAGGGGATATGAAAGGCCTCCGCCCTGAGACCCTGGAGAGCTGCTGCCAGTCTGAGTAGACAATCCTGACCCTGATGGACCGGTGGTCTGATTCAGTATAATAAGACAAATGTGGACAATCACGACCTGGTGGTCTAGAAACAAACACTGAAAAAACAGGCGTGAGAGTCTGACCCACAAACCAAGATCGGCAACCAGACTTACAAAGCAAACATGCTACTTAGTTTCTGATGGATCCCAGGCGTCTGACGCAAAAGGGAGGGGACAATTTTGGAAATTCCACCATTGCTTTCTATGAGCAACTGGTATTGTTTGCAAACCAGCGAGAGAGAGAGGCCACCAGGTTCAACTGGCAGCACCTTAAAAAGACCAAACCACATTTATCTCTATAGAAACCTTCCAGGCGTCAGAACTCCCTCCATCAAACCCAGGAAATCCGGTCAGCGGACAAAAGAACGGCCAAACCCCGACTTCCTGACGCCTATGGGGAGCGAATCTTGCCGAGCTCCCCCCCCCGTCACCCCCATCCTGCCGTAATGGACTCAGCCACAAGCTATTCCTGGCATTGCCGTGAAAGCAGGGAACCGGCCGCTTCCATTGACCGGGGGGGTGTCACGTGCGCTTCGGAATGCGCCCCATCTCCCCGCCCACAACAGACGCATCCCGTTCACCGCATGACGTCGAAAAGGGCGGGGGGGAGATGAGTGGGGAAGGAAAAGAACGGCAGGAAGGGCGAGCTCATTTTCAACATGGGGGGGGGCGGAGAGAACGAAAGAGGAAGCCAAGCCCATTTCCTCACTCCACTCCCAAGAATACGAACGTCGAGGGGGGTCGTTTTGTACGCAAAAACACCCAGTTTCGTGTCAATTACATTCCCCCCCGTCTTTTCTTTCTCCGCGAGAGGACCGAGAATGGTTCCTCCCGCTCCCCCGCCCTCCCCGGGAGGCGCGCCCGAGTTCTCGCGCGGTTTCCGCTCCGGGGAGAGAGGGGGGCGGAGCCTAGACGCCTCCTCCTGCCTGAAACCGCCTCCTTTCTCTCCCCCTCCCCTCAGTCCTCCTCGCGCCTGCCTGTTAACGCTCGTGCTTCTTGGACGTTCCTTTCCTGCCTTGAAAGTCGGTGAGGTTCCCAAGGGCGGGCGAAGCAGGGGGCGGTTGCGGGGGGGGGGCTAGCCTCCAGGGGGGGCCGGGAGATCTCCCGGTATTACAACTGACCTCCAGGCGATGGAGATCAGCTCCCCTGGAGAAAAATGGCTGCTTTGGGGGGGTGGACTCCGCTGAGGTCCCTCCCCTCCCAAAACCCCACCCTCCTCAGGCTCCACCCCTGCGGTGGGGCTGTTGGGGGCTCCGCCTCCTCCCTTAGAAGGATAGCCCCCCCCAGATTTTCTTCAAAAAATGATTTAAAAAAATGATTTAAAAAACATTTTTTAAGATGCGCGCACTCTCTGGCCGCACTGAGGCCAGCTGCACACCAAACAGACCTTCCCCACATGTGGGGGGGGGGGGGAGGCGGAGGGTTGTTGTTTTTAACTCCACGGGCTGGAAGTCCTCGTACGAGGGGGTGGAGACTGCTGGGAGGGGAAGGAGGCGCGATTCTCCTTCTCCAGTGCAGGTTTTTATTATATAATAAGGCGGGTGAGGCTGGTTGGTGCGGTGGTGGATTTGGGGGGGGGGAGGTGGCCGGCCGCTCGGCCCCTCCCTGGCTGGAGGGAGGGAGGGAGTAAAAGGACATGCTGGGGAAATGGGATTAGGAGGCTCTTAGACGTGGGGGGGGGGGGGGCCGGGGACGAGCCCCCTGGGAACGGGCTTCCCCGCTGCGTCGTGGGCTGCGATCACACGCACGCCAAATAGTGCCCATTCCCTGCACTTTGCAGCTGGATCTTGCCGGTTCACGCAGTGAAATCCAGTTGGAAAGGGCATTGGAAGTGCATTATTTAGTTTGTGTGTGTGTGATCGCAGCTACGGATTCTCGGGACCTGAAATGACCCCCCCCCCATCCTTGAGTCAAAACGTGAGGCTTGTTAATTGTCGCAGAGGACATTGGCTTCCCACTCTGTTTTGGACCACGTAACTATTCCTTCGTGGCTGCCAGGAAAGAAAGCAAAAAACACCACCCAACCCGCTGGCTTAGACTAGGCCGTTGTGTTCTGCAGTCTGATCTTCGATGCTTTCAAGAACAGATCTGTGCATTTTGATACCTCCCCCCCCCCCATCTGAGATTGTGTTCCTCTTTCTCTACTCTCTAAAATGGAATAGTTAGTACTCCATAGGTTCCTTATTAGAGTCATTAAACTCCGATTAAGGTCTTTACTGTTATTGGCATGCAGTGAAGCAAGGTGGGGAGAAATGCACCCGTTTAACTATCCTGATTGTGAGTGGAAGAAATATTAAGGCGTAGCAAGCCTGTGCTAGCATGGCCCTAGTTTTTTTTTTTTTAACCACTGGTCACCCTTTCCGTAGAAAGGCTTTGGTGCTGCACCCAGCCTCCTTTTTTTGGCTTTCCCTAACTTAAATTTTCATCTTAAACTCACCTGCAATGGTTAGGTGTCTTTCTGAGCCCCGTATCTGCTATTCGCAGGTAGTGATACTTTTAAACAGTTGTAGATGTTGAGCTAATGACTTGATCCGGGTGCTTCCAAATCTATCATGATAAGAGACATGCTGTAGCAAGCATTCTCAGATTTTCATATCCCAGGGACCTCTGCTTTTGATCCTTCCCACCTAGCACTCACATTGTGCTGACCTGTGCATGCCCTGTAGAGGTTTCTGTCTTCAGGTATCCACAGAACACTACAGTGAGAATGGTCTCTGTTATACTTAAAAGACAGATTTTAAGTAAAATGTTAATATTGTTTACACAAGGCCTAGAGGGTAGCTGACTCTCTGGAGCTGTGGTGGTCACTCAGTGTTTTAGGAGTCACATGTAGCTCTTTGACATACCCCCTGTGGCACTGTTTCCCAATGTGGCACCTGCCACATGATTCAGGAAAGCGGGCAAGGCCCCTGCCTGGTGGGGCTTATACTTGGCAGGTAGTTCCCACCTTGCAACAGCTGCTGCTGGAGGAGTAGGCAAATTGCAAGCGTCCCTGAGGTGCAGGCATCATCCCAGGGTTGGAAGTCAGTGTGGCTCTTTTGGCTGGTGGTCATTGTGAGTGTTGGGTCTCTGTGAGCCACGGACATACCACTGCTCCACGGCCAAAATTCAAAAGGCTCATGCCTTGATTGGAAGGGATTTTAAGCAGGAGACAACCAGAAAATTCCTTATTGGTAAATAAGTACTAGGTAGAGGCTGATTGGACATGGGCAAGACAGGAAGGAATCTGGTAAGAGGTTCAGAGATGCTCTTAAAAGCAGAAAAAGGCCAGTGCCTCCAGTAGCATATTGAAAATCAATATTGGCTGTTGTTGTCAATGAGTGCAAAGTGGTGTTTCTATGGTGAAATCTTTGCATTGGGAAACAGTTCAGTTTTATATTTGAACGTAACTATGGTAACTGCTGCCTTGGAGGCACTCAGCCAATAAAAGTTCCTAGGTCTGAGCTGTTGGATCCCAGCAACTAATCAGGATTTTTTTTTCCTGGCTGGTAGATGACCTGGAAGCTAGGTGATTGTTGTGTGTGTGTGTGGGGGGGGGTAGTTCTGTGAGCTCCAAAACTTTGAAGGTGGGAAAGATAGTTCTGTCACTTTAGGTGGAGAATCCCTGCCCTCCCCCCAGAAAACCCAAGAGCTTTGTTTTCATGTGAGCTGTGAGGGGACCTCACCCTGTCCTTACAAAGCACTTCCATCCTTTGGGGTGCCCTTGGGATCATCAGAGTTCCACTTTGGTGTAGTGGTTAAGTGTGGCGGACTCTAATCTGGAGAACTGGGTTTGATTCTCCACTCGTCTACATGCAGCCAACTGGGTGGCCTTAGGTCAGTCACAAGTTCCCTCAGAGCTGTTCTCTCAAGAGCTCGAAATAGCTCTCTCAGCCGCACCTACCTCACAGGCAATGTTCCCTCTAAGCTGTGCAGTCTTGTGAGCAAAACGTCTGCTTTGTGAGCTACAGGCATCAAAGTTGTGAGTGAGCCATTTGGCTACTGAATAAATGAGTTTGCTCTGGAGCCCTCCTTCCTGAGCTAAGAAAAAAATCTTTGAGCTGGAGGCTAAAAAACTATGAGCTAGCTCACACTAACTCAGCTTAGAGGGAACATTGCTCACAGGGTGTCTGTTGTGGGGAGGGGAAGGGAAAGGAGACTGTAAGTAGCTCTGAGACTCCCAGTGAAGGGCAGGATATAAAAGCAACTCTTCTTCTTTGATGAACACTGTGCTATGGTAAGAACAAACCAGGAAATTGACATGTGAGGAAGGGTATGCCAACTGCAGCACATCCTTGGTCCCCAAACCATTGTTTGGAGATTGGCTGAACTCAAGACAGCGTGAAATTTGAATAGTGTGAAACACTTGGACACCTAGAAAAAGCCCTGGGTGAGCCCTCTGTGCAGCTGGCGGTGCCGTTGATGGGAAACTTGGGCTTAAATTCCAGAGAGATGTAAGGTAGTTGGAGAACCAGCTAGATGTTAAACTAGGGGAACATGGCAAAAAACCCTCACCTTTTAAATCCCACAACACAAGATACTTGTCAGCTTTGCTGTTTGGGTGTCTCTTAAGAGGGCAGGCACCCTAGCTGTAGCTCTTTCCTAATCAAGTTAAAATAACAAGATCTTCCAAATGTTTCCTCTCCCTGGGCCTGCATGGGATGTTTCACCCAAGGCCTCCCTGACTGAGTTCTCATTCTGTATGCAGTCATATGTTTACTCAATAAGAACATAAGAGAAGCCAGTGTTGGATCAGGCCAATGGCCCAGCCAGTCCAACACTCTGTCACACAGTGGCCAAAAATACCTGGTGCCATCAGGAGGTCCACCAGTGGGGCTAATAGTGCTCATCTAGGAAGATGAGCTGGTTTGCCTTCTGACTCGTGTGTTCCTAAAAGTCTGGCTACTTTACACTGATTTTTAGCTTGTTCTGTTACAATAGTACCACGGCAAAGCATTGTGATGTAGTTCTAAAAGTGCCTTTTTCTAAGCAGATGTTGCCAGTAGTTGGCCGAGGCTGAGGGTGTTTCCCCCCCCCTCCAATCTCTATAAGAGTTGCCTAACTGAAAGTCCTTGAATTTGTTTCTTTCCACAGGGTGTCTTTTATGAATAATCAAAAGCAGCAAAAGCCAACGCTATCAGGCCAGCGTTTTAAAACTAGGAAAAGAGGTAAGCATAGTAGTAGCGTGTCTGCTTATTTGAAAGGTTTTATTTTATCTCCTCCAAGTGAGTGTCTTAAAGTCTGTGGCGATTTGGATATGATGTTAGTGGATGTACACATCCTGTTAAACAGAAAAGGCTGCACTGATATTTCGCTGGAGAGAGGCACACAGGGTCTTATTTTTGCAGCAACAGTACTTCCCCCTAAAACATTATTTTTATCAGAGTTTGGAAATATTAAGCTTTTCTCCTGTCTCAACAAGAGGCTTTTACCCAATCCCATTCTTTGTCTTACGTGATGAATATTGTTTCACATATTGATCTGACACAAACGTGGGTTCACTAATTCTGTTCATTTTGATAAAAGTACCATGGGCCCCGGTCACACGGGCAGGAAAATGCAGTGGGGGAAGCGTGGCTGTTTGCCCCAGAGCAAAATAACGCGCGGCTGCACAATCAGACGTCCTGTAGAGGTCCCGTGGTTAGGGGGGAGGTGCCGATCACAGGACAATCCTGTGGCGTGGCAAAGAAGCGGCCTCTCTAGCAAAAGTCTCTGCGTGCTTAACCCCTTCCAGGGCTGCAGAGGAATGCAAACTGTCCTCGTCTGGTCCCTTCCAGGAGGAGCTTCAGCTCGGCAACCCTCCCGCCACGTCCCCCAAAGAGGAGGGGGCTGAAGTGTGCGCATGCGCCGTTGGGTGCTTGTGTGCATCCCGTGGAGACTTGGGAAAATCCCTTTTTGCGAGGGGACATGGGCGGGCGACGGATGCCACGACCTACCACCGGAAACACGATCAGGCGCCCGCCCTTGCCCCACGGTTTCCGGAAACTAGTACCTCGGAGGTACTGTTTTTTTACCCCGCATTTTCGGCGGGAAGCCTCGGGTAAGCCACGGGAGCTCTACGCTTCCCAGATGTGGCGCTGTGATCGCACCCAGAGAATCCGCCTATCTTCCGTCTCTGTAGCGTGGCTAATGCTCCATGTGACCGCAGCCATGGATAGCTTTATTTTAGAACATTTAAGAACATAAGAGAAGCCATTGGCCCATCTGGTCTGTGTCACACAGTGGCCAAAACCCAGGTGCCATCAGGAGGTCCACCAGTGGGGCCAGAACTCCAGAAGCCCTCCCCCTGTTGCCCTCCCCCAAGCACAAAGAAGACAGAGCATCACTGCCCCAGACAGTGTTCCATCTATACCTTGTGGCTAGTAGCCACTCATGGCCCTCTGCTCTGTATGTTTATCCAATCCTCTCTTGAAGCTGTCCATGCGTGTAGCTGCCACCACTTCCTGCAGCAGTGAGTTCCATCTGCTAATTACTCTTTGGGTGAAGAGGGCCTTACTTTTATCTGTCCTAAGCCTACTGCTCATTAATTTCATAGAGTGCCCACCAGTGTTACCTCTAAACTGAGTAAGTGTGAGCTATGTTAAGGGCCTATTACAGTTTCTCTTTTACTTCAGCAGAGGTCAGAATAAGTGCTGAGTTAAGCACAAAGATGTAATTTAAGCTTGTCAGGTCCAAAACTGAAACTTCACTCTTTAAAGGAATTTTTGAGTGCCGTTTCATTTGACTTGGCCCTTGAACTTCCTGCAGCTTCACAATAAATTATACAGACTCCTGCATTAGCCCATCATGACACAAAATAACTGGTTCATGGCGGTACCGATTCAGTTTCTAATATTCACAGCTACTTTTACTACGCAACATAACTTTAGACTTAATGTGGTAACGTGATGTTACGACTTAATGCGGTAACGAAATATCCACAGCAGCTTTTACTACACAACATAACTTTCAACTTAATTTGGTACCGTGAGAACTTTCTGGGTGAAGGTTGTAGAATCCAAGCAAAGGGGAGGTTAGGCAGAAATGGCAGTCAGAACTGAGAGCAAATCTAAAGTCGCCTTGCTCTTCACACCTGGCATACAGGCTAGGAGGCATACGTGGCACAATCCTGTGGAGCTGGTCGCCAGATCGCAAATGCTCATCACATTAAGTTAATTAAGACTTCCGCCAAAGGCTGAAACCTGTTCCTTAGAAACAAGTACCACTTGTTTCAGTGAAATTTACTTTCCAATTAACATAGAATTAGAGTGGTAAAATGGGAAATTCCTGCGGCAGACTCTGATGCAGCCACATGCATTTATGTATTGCATTTATGTCCCACTGTTCTTCCATCTTTGGTCCCAGAAGGCCTCCCTCCTAAGCCCTCTTATATACCTGCTTTGCTCGAGTAAGGTGGCTGGATTGTGTACCTGCAGCCAGACAGCAGGACACGTTGTCAAATGAAACTAGCAGAAGATTTAGACTTTGTTTGATCCTGTAAGAACGACACTCCTTTCTAGTGGGGTCAAGAGAGGTCAGGATGCAGTAAACAATGCACCTATTACAAATGTGTATGAATATTTACAAAAATTCTATCCCACCTTTCTGCCCTTACAAGGGCTGCCAAAGGCAGCTAACAATTTAAAACATACATAATAAAAATTACATTATAAAACTATAAGCATCAACCCCCCCTCCCAAACATACATCATTAAAACAACATTTTATAGCGTTAAAAAAGTAGAGTTAAAATACATACAAAACAGTTAAAATAAATTTCCTGCATTGTGCAGGGGGGTTGGACTAGATGACCCTGGAGGTACCTTCCAACTCTATGATTCTATGCAGAACATAAAAACACTGGTTAGGAAGGAGGGATCACTGCCAAAGGAAGCAAAGGTCTTCACCTGCTGGTGGAAGTCAGCAACAGAAGGGGGCAGATGAGTCTCTCTGAGGAGAGCTGTGAGGTGGCATCAGGTCCAGCCGTTGACAGTTTGCGCACTCTCTAGTAGCAGGTATATTTTCATAATTTTATACAGACTATGCTGCAAACGATGCATTGCATTTTAAAACCGCAAAATCCACCTCTGATAAGAAAATATTATATTACCATCAATGTGTGTGGGGGGGTGAGGGCCCATGAGGGTAGGAAGAACATCTGTTTAACATCTATTATGCAATGCCTACCGGGGGGATGTTTGGTTTGTGGTTTGTCCTCTCTGAGATTCCAGAATGGATGCCAAATAGTCTGAGCACTTTACTGTGTGAGTGGGTTTTAAACTTTATATTGTTTTTAAATCTTTATAGTATTTGATGTTTTATAAGCAAGTTTCTTGCCATGTAAGCCGCCCTGAGCCCTACGGGAGAGGGCGGGGTACAAATTCAATAAATAAATAAATATCTCAGTTTTCCCCAGCATTATTTTTCCCCCTATGGCTTCAAGACTCCCAGAAATCTTACATCTCTGCGTCTTAGACTCTCGTTCTTTAGCTAAATACTCTTGCCGTACTAGATTGCTTTTGTGTCAAGAGTGGTGCAACCTGTCGGCTTTTCCAGCAGAGGTCATGGGGCTCTCTCCTCCACCGGTTTCCCTCAGCTTAACAGCTGCCGTGTAAGGCAATAACGATAGAGATAAGTGGTCTGACGCTAGGAAGCTGGTTAGTCAGAAGGCTTATGGTGGATAACGTCATACTTTAGAATGCAAACATGAAGGTTGTGTGTGTGTGTGTTTTCCTTTAAAGATAAGTAGAATATCTTGGCAGGCTTTCTCACGAGTATTTAAGAGAACCAAGGATATGTGGGAGTTCCAAAATGTTAAGATGTAGATGCTTGGAACTACCAAGTGAAGGTTTGCTTAGTGTGGTTACTGTCAGAATCCCTGCTTAAAAATTGAGAAGAGCACCAGTCTTTAGGGGAGGCCGAATGTTTAAATATGCATTCGTGAAAGTAATTAGAGGACCACAGCTGCCAAATTGAGGAGATAATAAGACAACGGAGCTGTGTAACGTGCTGTCACAACATTAAAGCATCTTCATAACCGTATCTATTTTCATTCAAACAAAGCTCTAAGTATTTTAAGTGTAGAATCTACAAAATACAAAAGTCTTCATCAGAGAAGGACCAATGATAAGTGTATAAAACATTAATTACCCGGAAATGTTGTTGAGATTGTTTTTGGACCTTCATTGTCTTATTACCTCCTCCTAAGCATGCATTCGTGACATCAGCAGCTTAACGGGTGGATAGAATCTTGGCTGATACTGAGAACTTCTTTTTTGTGAACTTTGCTGTGTGGGAGCAGCATACGTCCATGCCAGAAATAAAGTGGCCCCTAAATGGTGGTGCGCTTGGGGAAGTTTCTGCCAACCGCTTTGCCAGGAACCACAAAATTTTAAAAAGACTCGGCTGTAATAACTTCACATGGTGCCAGGCGATACACACCCACTGTCCTTCTGGCTGTTCTGTACATAATATTGTTCCTTTGCCTCCAGCACTCACGAAACAGCAGCTGTTGAACTAGCAGGTTCTTTAACTTAGCCGTGTGTTGGGCACCCTTACATAACCGTGATTGCTTGGATGCTGCTTTGTGCTGTTGGAAACTTGATAGTGGTAAAAGGCACAGGGGACGAGAGTCAGAAATGCTGTGGCTGTGAAAGAGGGGCTGGGAGCTCCATCCACTGAAGGTGTGCCGGTCCCCAACCCCCGAAGGCTTGCTGCTTTATTCATTTAGGTATTTATCCCCTGCTCCACCCCCCAGTGGGGCTTGTAGTGGCTTACGTCACTCTCCCCTCCATTTTATCCTCACAATGGCAGTCCTGTGAGGTAGGTTAGACTAGGGGTGTCAAACATGCGTCCCAAGGGCCGCATCAGGCCCCCGGAGGGCTTCCATCAGGCCCGCAGTGGAACTGGCCATCTCCTGCTTCCAGTTCTGCTGCTGGTGCTGCATCATAGCTTGCTTCGCCAGACTCTCTTAATCACTCAGCCATTTCATGTTTTAACCGGGGTCCCAGATTCAGAACTCCGAGCATGAGATTTCTGTGGTGAATGTCAATAAATCCAAAGTAGGTTTGCAGCTTACAGATACACATCTGAACAGCATACTCAGGATTGTAACAGTACAGACATTTTGATGCAATAATTCAGAGCAAGAGGTGTCAGTTATCAGTTACTGTTAAATAAACAAAATATTGCAAGAGTGCTAATGTTTTAAGCATGTTTTTATTTTAAGTAAAAATAACCCATTTGTGTCCTGTATAAAGTTTATATCTCTGCTACCTGGCATTACATTTTATGACACACATGGCCCAGCCTAACAAAGTCTCATTTGTGTCAGATCCGGCCCTCATAACAAATGAGTTCGACACCCCTGGGTTAGACTGACAGGAACTCATCCAAGGTCTCCTGGCCAGTTTCCGTTGCAGTGCAAAGAGTCTCTCAGGTCTAGGCTGATGCTCTTACCACTGCAGCACACTGGCTCTCAGTTGTCCACCGTTTATAACCAGACAGCTTATGCGCCCAACTTTGTACTCCTGTTTCTGATCATCTCACTCTCAGATGATGCTTCCAAGAACAAAGATTCCCTTCTCTAACCCGTGTGGCAGCTTAACAGCTGTACTAGTTTCTGAGCGTGAATTAAGTAGTTGTGTGGTATTGTGGCATGGTCTTCAAATGTCAGAACGTCCTTTTAAATACAGTTGTTTGGGTCTTACACTCTGTGGTTGGGAGGAGCTCATAGATGGTTCCCACCGTCCCCTGGCAGCTCCAGAAAAGCTGCCCCCGGGGAATAGGGAGGCTGTGGCACCACCCTCTGAAGAGAAGGCCTGATCACTTACGTCATGACGTCATCAACTTGAGGCATAACATTCCCTGAGCTCTGCAGTTTCCAGCTACTGTCACTAGTGTTTTAACTTGCAGTTTCTCGTGTACCCAACAAGATATTCTCTTGATTCTTTCACTGCAGTATTCCAGACACTTCACACTAGCTTACAGTGTTACTGAGTTCAGTTTCCCTTGCATATTTGAGTGCATGTTTCGTATAATTTACAAGCATATCAGAGGGGAAAGTGGTGAGTGTCTGTTGTATGATGGTATTGTCAATTCTCACTCTATTTCAGATTTTTTGGGGGTAGATCAGTGGGTTTTGCTTCAGTTTGCCACAACAAATCCAGAAGGGAACTGGGGGGGTTCTGCACATCCCCTTCTTCTGCTCAGTATTAAAGCCAGCCTTATAGACTAGAATTTTCAAAGGACACTTAAAAGCACACTGCTTGCATCAAAGATGACAGAACAATGAATGTGGTTCATCACACGGCTGTCATCCCCACTTTGCATGTGAGCATAAATTGTCAAATAATAGTAATACTAAGAGTTTAATAACTTCTGGTTTTCAGTATTACTACTTTTTATTTAACATTGACACAGCATGAGATAGTAATATGCACAAACTCATACTTTGGTAAGACGTCTTCACATACAGTAAACTTCAATCATAATCTCCAGTTACCAAAAAAGAACAGCTACACAGGATATTGGGTGCCATCAGGAGGTCCAGCAGTCTGTCACACAGTGGCCAAAAACACCAGGTGCCATCAGGAG